CTTGATAATTCTACGCGTGGTAATTCTACGCGTGGTAATTCGACGCGAGGTAATGCTCAACGCTTAGTAATTCTACGCGTGGTAATTCGGCGCGTGGTAATTCTACGCGTGGTAATTCAACGCGTGGTAACTCGACGCGTGGTTATTCAACGCTTGGTAATTCGACGCGTGGTAATTCGACGCGTGGTAATTCGACGCGTGGTAATTCGACGCGTGGTAATTCGACGCGTGGTAATTCGACGCGTGGTAATTCGACGCGTGGTAATTCGACGCGTGGTAATTCGACGCGTGGTAATTCGACGCGTGGTAATTCGACGCGTGGTAATTCGACGCGTGGTAATTCTACGCGTGGTAATTCGACGCGTGGTAATGCTCAACGCTTGGTAATTCTACGCGTGGTAATTGTACGCGTGGTAATTCTACGCGTGGTAATTCGACGCGTGGTAATTCGACGCGTGGTAATTCGACGCGTGGTAATTCGACGCGTGGTAATTCGACGCGTGGTAATACTCAACACTTGGTAATTCTCGCGTGGTAATTCGACGCGTGGTAACTCAACGCGTGGTAATTCTACGCTTGGTAATCCGACGCGTGGTAATTCGATGCGTGGTAATTCGACGCGTGGTGATTTAACGCTTGGTATTTCGACGCGTGGTAACTCGACGCGTTCTAAATTTGACGCGTGGTAATTCGACGCGTAGTAACTCGACGCATGATAATTCAACAGCATGGTAATTCAACGCTTGGTAATTCTACGCGTGGTCATTTCAAATCGATCACTTTTGGACTAATCCTACTCTAATCAAAATATGTTGTAGTCCATGTGAAATTAGGGGGGGTTTAAGTCATCATTTTGCCGGTTTCGAATTTGTTAAAAAATAACAAGCCCTCGAAGTTTGCAATTTTACATTTTTGCGAAAATAGGCTTCATTCACGAATTTTTTTCTTAGAAACTACTCAATCGATTTAGCTAAATTCTGTTTTATTTTATTCACGAAGGATTGGGCTATTTTAAAATATTTTTTTTAATTCCGTCAATTTGTTATGAAATATCGAAAAATTTAAACAGTGATTTGATACCAGACCATATTTCTCAGTAATGAAATTTACACTGAATTATACATTTCCATTCTGTCGTTTCGTTTTAATGTACCTTTTAATATTAACCTTGATTGCCTCATTCTGAAAAAACATAAAACGAAACAATGATCCACCGTATTTATGCTGAACATTTCAGTCGAAATCGGGTTACACGAATCAAAAAATCAAAATGAAAGGAATTCTGTTCCCAATAAAAAGGAAACAGGTTGTTGTAAACATATTTCCGGTGGAGAGATTCGGATTCGAACAATCATGCATTGATCGTACGGTGAAGTACAAAAATGTAGCTGTTGATGTTTTGCGGTCAATAAAAATGAATCCTCGTTACAACGGTGCTTGTTCGATTAACGCTAATTAGGAGACCGTTAATTATGCCGGAGTAAGTGCTTGTACTTACATTGTACTGCTATGCATTGAACAAGCTGTACAGGGGAGGTACAAGTACACTGAATTAAATATATGTAGGATGACTGCGTTAAATTATGAACTTGACAGAGAATCAGATAGTGATGGCATTTTGGAGAAAAGGAAAAGTATCGAGATGCCAGTGTTGAAGAGCTTAATGTTTCCTGTATAATTTTTATTTCTTTTCATAGTTTCAAGTTTTCAATTTTTAATGTTCAGTTTTTAGTTTTTGTTTGATTAACTTTTAAACTTTTGGATTGTTAGATTCGTCAAGATGTTAATTTTTCAATTTTCCAATTCCATAATTTACAATTTTCAATTTTTCAAGTTTCAATTCTACAATTTTCAATTCTTCAATTTTCAGTCGTTCAAGTTTTAATTTTTCAACTTTCAACTCTTCAACTTTCAACTCTTCAACTTTCAACTCTTCAACTTTCAACTCTTCAACTTTAACTCTTCAACTTTCAACTCTTCAACTTTCAACTCTTCAACTTTCAATTCTTCAACTTTCAACTCTTCAATTTTCAACTCTTGAACTTTCAACTCTTCAATTTTCAGTTCTTCAACTTTCAATTCTTCAATTTTCAGTTTTTCGTGTTTCAATTCTTCAAGCTCCAATTCTGCAATTTCCAATTCTTTAAGTTCTCTTTCTGCAACTTTCAATTCTTCAATTTTCAGTTTTTCGTGTTCCAATTCTTCAAGTTCCCTTTCTGCAACTTTCAATTCTCAAAGTTCCCTTTCTGCAACTTACAATTCTTCAAGTTTCCTTTTTGCAATTTTCAATTCTTTATGTTCCAACTCCACAATTTTCAATTCTTCAACTTTCAAGTCTGCAATTATTCTATTCTTCAAATATTCCATTCTTCAATTCTTCAACTCTTTAGTATTGCAATTAATCCTTGAGCTCCTCAGTACTTCAATCAATTTTATTATTTTTCAATTCGTCCATCCTTCCATTTTTCAATTCTTCAATTACTCTATTCTTCAATACTTGAATTTTAGAATATTTTAAGTCTTCAATTCTTTAATTCTTTGATATTTCAATTGTTCAATTAAGCCTCCAATTCTTTGAGTCCTCAAATTTTCAATTTTTCAATTCTTCCATTCTTCAATTCTTCAATACTTGAATTTTAGAATATTTTAAGTCTTCAATTCTTTAATTCTTGAATACTTCAATTGTTTAATTAAGTTTCAAACTCTATGAGTTCTTAAATTTTCAATTCTTCAATTCTTCAATTCTTCAATTCTTCAATTCCTCAATACTTCAATTCCTCAATACTTCAATTCTTCAATTCTTCAATTCTTCAATTCCTCAATTATTCAATTCATAAATTCTTCAAGTTTCAATTCTACAATTTTCAATTCATTACATTCCAATTCTACAGCTCGTTATTTTTGTAATTTTCAATTCTTGATCGTTCCCACAGAAATTCAAACTACCGATTTCTTCGACTAAAAAAAATAATCGTACCGCAGTAATTCCCAAGGGAGTTAAGTGCGCCACAAGGGTTAATTACCGACAAGATATATCCAATAACGAGCGATTTCATTGTTCAGCAAACCGATTGTCTCTTTCTCCGTAGCTCTCACGCGGCTCGCACTCGAACCAGCCATTTACATTATTCGTAACCCGGATTTATGCACCTAAAGCAACAGTGTCTTGGCAAAAGTCAAAGTTACCGTGCACAATAATGTAACCCGTTGTATCGCAACAATTACTACACAAAGCGGAATTAGTTCTCACCGTGGTAGGATTATCCTGCGGGTTATACGATTCCAAGCGATCGCTGCAGAATTACCATTGCATCGAGAACGATACCGTGCCAAGCCTGTTAATCACGAAAGCTTGTTGTTTCTCGTGTGCTCATTATACTTCGCGGGTCACGAGCCTTCCATTCAACGAAGTAAAATTATCATCGATCACCCAATAGCATTGCGATTCCATTATCGGCATCTGTGCTCACCCCGATCGGACTAACCTTCCTTGTTACCAGCCGTTCCTCTATTTAGTACGTAATCCTGCGATTATTCTACTTTGAGAACGCCAGCGTCTCCTCTAAGAAGACGCATCGTTCATTGTGAATCAACCGGTGAAATAATGCGATTTATCCGAGGAAACAAATTTATACGGTTGGCATTGTTATTAGTTGAGATGACGGGATATTTAGATTGTTGCTTTGCGAGGTTTTTGTTCTTTTAACGGTTGAGGGGAGATTGCGGGATTTGGGGACTTTGGGACGCGGACATTTTTGCAGGATTTGGGGAATTTCGGAGGTGGACATTTGTGCAAGATTTGGGGGAATTTGGGAACTTGGAGATTTGCGAAGTTTGGGAAATTTAGGGACTTGGAAATTTGCACAATTTGGGAAATCTAGGGATTTAGAAATTTAGAGATTTGGAATTGTGTAACATTTGGGAAATTTAGGGATTTTGCAAAGATTGAAAAATTTGGGAAATTTAGAGATTTGAAAATTAGTAAAATTCAGGAAATCCAGGGACTTATGAGCTTGTAATGTTAGGAGAAATCTAGGGGAATTTGGAGATTTATAAAATTTTGGAAATTTAGGGATTTTTCAAAAATTGCAAAATTTGGAAAATTTAGGAATTTAGAAATTTTGTAAAAATTAAGCAAATGTAGGGAGTTAGGAATTTGTAAATTAAGTAAATCTAGGGACATGGAAATGTGCAAAATTAGGAAAATCTAGGGAATTAGCTTCTTGCAAAACTTGAGAAATCTAGGGATATAGAAACGTGAAAAATTTGGGAAATCTAGGGACTTGGAACCTTGCGAAATTTGGGAAATCTATGGACTTGGAACCTTGCGAAATTTGGGAAATCTAGGGAATTGGATCCCTGCAAAATTTGGGAAATCTAGGGACATGGAACCTTGCAAAATTTGGGAAATTTAGGGACTTTGAAAATTCCAAAATTCCCAAATCCCAAAATTCCCTATTCCCAAAATTCCCAAATCCCAATAACTCCAAATCCCAATATCCCCAAATCCCAATATCCCCAAATCCCAATATCCCCAAATCCCAATATCCCCAAATCCCAATATCCCCAAATCCCAATATCCCCAAATCCCAATATCCCCAAATCCCAATATCCCCAAATCCCAATATCCCCAAATCCCAATATCCCCAAATCCCAATATCCCCAAATCCCAATATCCCCAAATCCCAATATCCCCAAATCCCAATAATCCCCCAAATCCCAATATCCCCAAATCCCAATATCCCCAAATCCCAATATCCCCAAATCCCAATATCCCCAAATCCCAATATCCCCAAATCCCAATATCCCCAAATCCCAATATCCCCAAATCCCAATATCCCCAAATCCCAATATCCCCAAATCCCAATATCCCCAAATCCCAATATCCCCAAATCCCAATATCCCCAAATCCCAATATCCCCAAATCCCAATATCCCCAAATCCCAATATCCCCAAATCCCAATATCCCCAAATCCCAATATCCCCAAATCCCAAAATCCGAAAATCCCAAAATCCCAAAATCCCAAAATCCCAAAATCCCAAAATCCCCAAATCCTACAAATCCCCATAATCCCAAATCCCCCAAAAATTAATCTTAAAAAAGAACTGCCTGCAGTCAAAAAATAAAGTGAACCATCATTGCAAAACGTTGAAGCAGACGATAGTCGCACATCCGTTTGCGAAATCGTGGCGGAATAAACTGGCCGGCGCGTTGCGTCGATCCGCATGAAATCTCGTGTCTCGTGGCGCGACGCTGAAAGGCGCAGGCGTCGCGACGTCCGGTGGCGGCAAGCGGACTCCAATTTCCTTTTAGTGTCGCGTCAACTGCCGCTGGAGAGTCGTGTGCACCCTCGTTGGCTCCAACAACCCCGATCCGGTCACGTTCGTGCCGTCTCTTCTTCACGGATCCTCGCGTTATATCGCACCCTCCCGATTTAACGAGCAAACACTTCCCTTCCCGTTCGACAAATTACAGTGTTGTCCCGTGTTGACTCACCGAAGTGACGAGTGTGTCCGTTTTGTTCGTTCGGTGTAGTTTTTTTCATAGTGTTCAGAGTGTGTGTGTCTGTGCATGTGTGTGCCGATTCGATCGGAGCATCACTGAGCTCGGCACTTTGAGAAGGTCTGATGCGACGAGCAAAAGGGCAATTTGAGAAAGTGTGTCGATTATGAATTGGTGTAAAGTGCTGGCTGTTGTACGCGAAGCGGAGACGAAGGACGGCTGGAAAGAAGGGATGCTCGTTGGAGAAGGGGCCGAAGCATGAGGGACGTCGCATCTTTAACGTAATGGTGAGTACCGAATGTTCTTTTCCGTCTGACCTGCTACTTGGAAATCTCGAGGATGATTTAAGGATTTTTCGACTTTATGTGGGAGAATGGTCGAATTTTGGGTTTTGGAGTGCGAGGAGGTTTTAGGGGTTGAACAGCTGGGAAGTGGAAGTTCAAGTATTAGGGAAAGATTTTCGAATTTCAAGTATTAGGCTGGTCAGATATTTGAATTTCAAGGGTTAGAGTAGCTAGGTATTCGAAATTTAAGTATTAGAGTAGTCACGTATACGAACTTCAAGTATTAGAGCAGTCAAATAAGTCGAATTTCAAGTATTAGAGTAGTCAAATAAATGGAATTTCAAGCATTAGACTAGTGAGATATTCGAATTCCAAGTATTAGAGTAGCAAGGTATTCGAATTTCAAGTGTCAGAGTAGTCAATCATTCGAATTTCAAGTATTAGAGTAGGCAAGTATTCGAATTTTAAGTATTAGAGTAGTCAAATAAATGGAATTTCAAGCATTAGACTAATGAGATATTCGAATTCCAAGTATTAGAATAGCAAGGTATTCGAATTTCAAGTGTTAGAGTAGTCAATCATTCGAATTTCAAGTATTTGAGTAATTAAACACTCAAATTTCTAGTATTAGAGTAGTCAAGCACTTGAATTTCAAGTAATAGAATAGTCACACATTTGAATTTCAAGTATTAAAGTAGTCAATCATTCGAATTTCAAGTATTTCAGTAATCAAACACTCAAATTTCTAGTATTAGAGTAGTAAAGCATTTGAATTTCAAGTACTGGAATAGTCACACATTCGAATTTCAAGTATTAGAGTAGTCAATCATTCGAACTTCAAGTATTTGAGTAATCAAACACTCAAATCTCAAGTATTAGAGTAGTCAGACATTTGAATTTCAAGTACTAGAATAGCCACATATTCGAATATCAAGTATTAGAGTAGTCAATCATTCGAATTTGAAGTGTGAAAGTAGTCATGTATTCGAATTTCAAGTATTAGCGTAGTCAGATAATAGAATTTCAAGTATTCAGATACAGAAATATCTGAATTTAAACTATTAGAATACTCAGGCATTTGAATTTCAAGTATTGAAACGCTCAAATATTCGACTCTCAAGCATTCGAATACTGGAATACGTAAATCTTTTGTATCTTTCCCTCAATTCCCACATTTCCCATACTCACATGTTCTCAAAATCCCAAATCCCCAAATCTCCAAAACCTCAATTCTACCAAACAATCTACCTATCCATCTCATTATACAACACCTCATCCCATATTATACTCCCCAATATCTCCCCCCACCCACCAAAAGTCTCATTCCCTCATAAAAGCGCTCATTTAGAATGATCTAACAGTCCATACGACGTGTGTACGTACTCGTCGATGGTTTTCGTTAGACGCGTTTCGTTCTAGCTCTCGCCAGGGCCGACACACTGCGAACGCGTAATAAATCTTTCAGGAAAAGTGGTGCTTCTGCCTGCTATACCGTTTTCGAACGAGATGCGTTATGTATGGATAAAAAATAACGATGCATTTCTGTCCCGTGTACGTGCATTCCCGTGTACGATTCGTAACGCACTCGCGCCATCCAAATTTTCCTGTATTCATAACCGTAAAGTGTATAAAATATCGCGGTTAAAAAAAACAAATCGTCGAATCAACATCTGGACGGTTGTACCAATGTTATAGTTTTTTATTTTCAACTCTGGTGCTTCCCTTTCAAATATTTAGGTTGGCCACCTCGTATATTCTGCATTCGACGTTGATTGTCCATAAATGAAATCAACTTTTTCCATTTCTTTTGCCTCTGACTACGAACTTTCTGAGTAATTGCGAAATTTTTTTTCGACGATGCTCCGTAATGGACGTTATCGTTGTTTCGTGTGATTCATAGAAACTGGTTCTACGGGTTTTCCGGACCAAGTTTTTTCTGGACGTTTGGTACACGGTTGGAAATAATGTCGGGTTATTGATACAGGTTTGAGTACAGGGTTTGAAAATAATGTATATTGGGATTTGGGATATGTGGGATTTGGAATATGTGGGATTTAGGATATGTGGGATTTAGGATATGTAGGATTGGGGTATGTGGGTTTTGGGACATGTGGAATTTGGGATATATGAAATTTGTCATATGTGGGAATTGTGATATGTGGGGTTTGCCATGTGTGAGATTTGGGATATGTGGGATTTGTCATATGTGAGAACTGTAATATGTGGGGTTTGCCATGTGTGGGATTTGGGATATGTGGAACTTGAAATACGTGGCATTTGTCATATGTGGGAATTGGAATATGTGGGGTTTGCCATGTGTGGAATTTGGGATATGGGGGATTTGGAATATGTGGGATTTGGGATACGTGGGATTTGGGATGTGTGGGATTTGGGATATGTGGGATTTGGAATATGTGGGATTTGTCATATGTGGGAATTGGAATATGTGGGGTTTGCCATGTGTGGGATTTGGGATATGTGGAACTTGAGATATGTGGGATTTGTCATATGTGGGAATTGGAATATGTGGGATTTGTCATGTGTGGGAATTGGAATATGTGGGGTTTGTCATGTGTGGGATTTGGGATATGTGGGATCTGTCATATGTGGGATCTGTCATATGTGGGATTTGGGAATTTAGGGATCTGCA